GAATGAGTTGCGGGGCCAAGCTTGGAAATCGCGCCAATTCGATTTGGAGAAAGAGTTGGACCGTCGCCGGTCCGCCCGCCAAGACAGAGCGGCCTGGCTGGGCGACCTGCTCGCAGACGGAGGATGGCAGAGCATTCGGCGATTCAACAAGAAAGCGGTGAAGCCCCAGGGCAGGCTGAGAGACAAGGGTGACCTGGTGGACAGCGCGCAGAGACCAGAGACCATGGCAACGTCCCTTTCAGACGCGCAGCGGCCCCCGCCCGCACCATCGCGACCCTTCCCGCGCGGACAGCGATGCGCGCGGGACCTGGACTTCCAAGCGGAAGACTTCACTGCAGCCGACTTCGGCGCCGTGTTCTGAAGGAGCCGGACCAGACGACATCCTGCCCCCCGATTTCTGGACAGCGCTCTGCTGCAATGGTGATGCGCGTGCTGCTCTCTTGTTTTCGGTAAACCAAAATTGGCAACGGAAACGGGTGCCGCAGACGTAGAGGCATGGTAGGGTCAGCGCGATCTACAAGAAGGGGGACGGGTCTGTGCCAGCCAACTACAGGCCCATCTCCTTGCTGGCACTGAGCTACAAGATCCTGGCTGGTTTTTTGCTGAAGAGTTTCAAATGGCGGCGCACAGGATAGCCCTCGACCGAGTCAGCTCGGATTCCAAAAAAATCGGGACGCCGAGGACGCCGCCTTCATCATGCATAGATACATCGACCAAGCGTGGGCTGGAAAAAAACGCAAGTTGTGGGCCGTTTTGCTCGATCGGTGTAACACGCTCGACCATGTGGACCCAATCGTGCCGCTGATGGACCTTGCCCGGATTGGCTCAACCGACCCGTGCACCAAAATGGCAGCTGCCACATACGAAGGTCGCGCGTTCGCGGTGAAGGGCGGGAACGGCAGCAACCGCCAGCACGCGCAGCCTTCCGGCATCGCGCAAGGCTGCCCCGTGAGCCTGCATCTGTTCATCTTCATGTTGAACGCGTTAATGGGGGATGCTGAACACAATAACAAGTTGAAGTTCGGACGCGCGCAAACTGATGTTTGTAGTGTCAGCTTGGCGCACGCCGACGACACGGCGTTCGTGTCAAACGACATCGACAAGCGGCCGTATTTTTCTTTATGGTTCGCATTTACGGGCTGGACCACAGCTGGGACAAGACCGTAAGCTCGCATCCGGCACGACATGGACATCGGCATCCCGCGAAGCACGCCGCTCAACACAGTCACGTCGGCGGTGTCGGCGGTCTATCTGGGCGGCCCCCTCCGGGCCGACGGGAAAACACAGGCCTCAGTCGCCCGCCAGGTAGGTGAAACCCGCGAGGTGTTTCGATGCGCTGCAAGCCATTTAGAGGACCGCCCACATAAGCAGGACCAATAAGGTTAGCTTGTTGAACGCCTGCGTCGTATCCGAACTGGCGCACAGGCAGACCAAGTCAAGATCGGCCCCTTTTTCAAGCACCGGGTTCACTCGCACGTTTTTTATGATTTGGTTTTGTTGTTTGTTCGCATGTTAGCAACGCACACATGCGAAGCAGTGCAAGTGGGAAATGTCTAAGCCGGCAAACGCGTGCCAAACAATTGTTGCACGACGGAGAACTGTCCGCCATGCCCGACGATTCGCTGCCTCACCAGACTATTTTCCAGCACGGGAATTCGCGACCCCTCGATCCCGGGAAGCGCCGCAAAGGGCGTCCCAGATTACAGCGGGTTTCGGCAATGCGCGCACACGCTCTGACAATTGCAACGCGCTGCACGGCAGGGCCCTGAGCGAAGGAGGCCGCCCGACAAACACTCGGACAGGGCATGGTCAATCGCCAAACATGGAAAACAAAGTGTTGATGTACCGCTCGGCGCTCGGATTAACTGCCTAACCAATTAGGCTTCTTGGGGTGCTATGTTCACCACCTGCTTCACGGGATGATTTAGAAATCTCGACTTTTGCCCCAGGTCTCCCGTCGGCATGCCCTCTTGTGGGTGTCGTCGTCGCCCACCTTCCGCCGCCTTGCGTCGCTCCTCTGCCTGCTGTTCCTCCTGCTCGTCCCTCGGGCGGTCGCCCAGGCTTCGTCCTCCTCCCCTCCTCTCTGGCATCCTCCCCCGTCGTTCGCCCTCCCGCCTCCCCCAGCTCCAGGCTCGTCCTGGTTCCCGGGTATCGTTCCCCCCTCTGCCCAGTGCTGCTATTGCTCCCTGGGTCGTCCACCATGCGGGCCTCCAGGCGGGACTGGGCTCGAGTGAGCAGATTTCTATACCACACGTGACTTTGGCGTACTGTTGTACATACGCTCACGCACGCTGCACCCGATGTGCCGTCTAGGCACGGTTTTGAACGACTATCCCTCATTATGTTTTCGTTCTCTGCTGCAAAACGAAATCAAAACGAAAATGGTCCACGAAATCCCACCAGCCCTCTGGGCGTAGGTAAGCGAACGAACTATAGCCTTCTCTCTTTCCACAGCCCCTCCATCTCCTGCTCGGGGGAGGGGTTCATCACTGCTCCCGATTCATATACACCCCCTCCCACAGGCGACCGGCAGCCAACCAGGACCAATGCCGACTCTATTCCCCCCGCCCCCCACACATCCTTGTCAAAGAACGGTAGAAACACGCACTCGGCCTCCAAACTCAGAGCTTGCGCAAGCAACCCGATGCGGGTCCCCCCCTATCCCTGTCAAAACACAATACAAAATACAATGTGAGGCAAAGTCTTGGGTCATGTTCCCCGCGGGCACTGTGCATTGTTTTTGTAAGGGGTGGCGGGAGTGTCAGCATATTGCCTGCTGCGCGCATGGCCACCATCCCTAACAAAAACAATACAAAATGCACCCCGCGCTTACAGTTTGATCATGCGCGGCCACCCCGCGATCACTGTCAAGTGATTTTTGACCGGGATGGCGGGAGTGGTAGCGCATGGCCTGCTGTGTACAGGCCCACCAGACACTGATCAACGACCAACAAGCTGGCCCCGAGAGGCCTCGCAGGGTCCCCAAGGGGGCCCCAGGAGCGCCCCAACAGGGCCCCAAGAGGGCCCCAAGACACATTGGCGGAGCCCTGATACGGCTCAAAAAGTTATTGACATTTTTGTCCTCCTCCTGCCTCCGATGCTCCAAAACGACCTCCAAGATGGTTCAACACGCTCTTCCTCCTCGTCTCGTTGCCCGTTTCGTTTCACGATATGTGTCTCTTCGTCCCGTTTCCCGTCAGCTCTCATGGGCAACGGTTCTGAATGGGCTGGCGGGGAGACTGTTTGATCGCGACCGCGGCGAGACACGTCGGGCGACGGAGAGGAACGAAGCGCAGATGCATCGGCCTAAATTAGATGCATTGGCCAGCGGCCTCATGGAGCGGGTCAAAAAACGTCCAAATTTAGCCGGGCCGCGACTAGACAGCAGAACAGCGGAAAACGGAAAAGCAAGACAGGCGCAGAGAGGGGCCAACAAAGCGAGCGCGCGGGCAACCACTCAGAAGTGCACCGAGAGCGGCACTCCCAACCCGGTGGCGTAGAAAACCCGGTGGCGACCAACAAGTAGGCGCAGCCAAAATGGCGCGGCGGCGCGACCATGTACACGCAAAGGTCGATCACCCGCTGTGAGTCGGCATAGGGCCCGACGAAAACGAACAGGTCCGACAGGCGCTTCGAGGCGACATCCGTGCCGTATGCGACACGACAGCATCGTGTCGGCGCCGAGCGAAAAGGGGGCAGCCTCGTCACAGACAGGACTGCAAACGGCAAATCCTCTGGTATGTACACCCGGTGGCACAGGTCGAAAGCGAAGCGCCCAGAGCCACACATGCCGACCTGGCAGGGATACTTTTGTCAGCGGCCGCAGGCGAGCGCGCCAGCGGCGAGTCCAGTCAGAGCGGGACGCGCAAAGACGAATTAACCTAAAACGGTGGGCCGGAGCCTCACGCAGCACCTCAGCGGCGGGCCGGCGAGTGGAAAAGGCTGGCGGTAAACTGGATAACGGTACTGCCACGGTGCACGCCTGGCGGGGATACTTTTTGATCTGCGGCTCCAAGGACGATTCCAGAGAGCGGGTAGTATCGAGCATGGGGTGACACGCCAGATAATTACCAGCGGGCCAAGAGCCAGCGCCGGAGTGCAAGCAAGAGCATGAATAAACACAAACCTGGCGGGGATACGCGAAGCGTGGGGAGTTCCACGATTGCGACTGGTATAGGCCCTAGCGGAGTGGTAAGACCAGGCCAGTCAGCCACCCGCCTCCCTATCGTCTGCTCCTCACCCCACACGCGTGCCCACTGGGCAGCCAGCGCCTCGAGGCTAGCAGCAGTGTGGGATGTGTTCGGACAGGTAGTGTCGTCGGGGCAATATGAAACTCAACCTGGGCCATCTGGGCGACCTGGGTGAAACCGTGGGCCCACGTCGACCCAAGCAAGCGCCTCTGCGCACCAATCTTGCAACTGCATCCTCTGCTCCATCCGCTCTTTCTGCAACTACTGCTGGGCGCGTGTCCAGATTAGGTCGGCCAACGAGGGGAGAGACTTGCAAGAACGTGGTCGGAAGGGGGGGGCCCAAAGACGCCGCCAGCCGGCTGATCGCACACCACCAAGCACGTCACCCGATGGGTAAAGATGCGCAAGAAGCCCTCCTGAGCGACTGGCCGTACGGGTATGTTGCAAGAGCTCTGGAAAATAGACCTAGGAGGTGAACGATGTGGTACGCTAAGCTTGGAATGAAGGTGCGAGGTCGCTCAATCGATTGAATACCCAGCCCAGAGTTCGGAAAGGTGATGTCGTTGGCCTTTGCTTGGTAAGCGGTCTGTAGCGAAACATCCTCAAATTCGAAGGGCGAGCCCCTGAAGAGCCCAGGTAAATTTGGCCCCCATGGCACGTCAAACAAAATTCCTGTCACGCCCTGTCGGCCTAAAACCTATCCTGCGCGTCCAGGACCTAATGCATGCCTGTCCGCACCTCCTGCCACGGTGGTTGTCGATACCCGCGCCCAGAGCCGACGGGGGAAGGCCCCAAGGCATTATCAAGGACCTGCTGGGCCTGATCGTAAGCAGGCGCCTCCGGCGCGGGGCCTGTAGGGCGCTCGAAGGGCAACCTCTGGTACCCTCTCACTTTCCTCACCTTCACCCCATCCAGGAAATTCGGGAAGCAGAGCGACACGGGTCGGTGAGGAGTGAGGAGACATCGGGCAGTCGAAGTGGCACCAAACATGTGAAACAACATAGCGAAGAGCACGCGATACCATAAGATAATCGTGCGCTCTGTGACACACACACACCGCGTGAATGTCGTAGCCAGGCTCCCCTCCCTCCCCTCTGCAATTCTTCCTCTTCTCTGACTGGTCCCCCCTAAACCTCCCTTGCTCCCTCCTCTCCCTCCTCCTCCTCCTCCTCCTCCTCCTCCTCCGCCCTCCCTTTTCCCCTCTCCTTCCCCATCCTCTTCCTCGTCCTCCTCGTCCTCCCCATCCCTCCCCCGTCTTCCCCGGAGCCGGCGGCTGGGCAAGGCAGGCCGGAAGGCCTTGCTGCTTCCGCCTGAAGAGCTCCAGGGCCTGCCGGGAGGGAGCGGCGGCAAGCGGGGGGGGGGGGAAGCGGGGCGGAACCCTGCTCCCCCCTCCTCCTCCTCCTCCTCCCCCCTCCTCCTCCTCCCCATCCTCCTCCTCCTCCTCCTCCTCCTCCTCCTCCTCCTCCTCCTCCTGATCATCATCATCATCATCATCAGCATCATCATCATCAGCATCATCATCGTCATCATCATCATCATCATCATCAGCATCAGCATCAGCATCAGCATCATCATCATCAAGACCATCATCATCAGCAGCATCATCAGCATCATCATCATCATCAGCATCAGCATCAGCATCAGCATCAGCATCATCATCATCATCATCATCATCATCATCATGATCTTGCTCGACCACCTCTTCTTACTTAGCATTCCCCTCCCCCTTCACATGTTGATTATCGTTTTCCTCCGCCTCCTCACGCTCCTCCCACAACCCCTCTGGCCCACTCTTGCCCATCCTCCTCACCCCTCCCCATCCTCCACCTCCAGCCCCCTCCTCGTCCTCCTTTTGCTCCTGTAATGGCTCCATTGGCAGACATACTCCACTTGAGCGTGGCGAGAATGCCGGGTAAACAGTCCAATCCTGCTCCTGCGCCTGATCAGCCAAACGCACCGTGGAAAGACTTACTTTCTAACCTCATTCCGCAAAAACTTTTTGCGAACCCCATTGCGAAAGCCTCGTGAGGCCTGGCGAAGTTTCCAGAGAGCCCAAACACGGCCAGGTAACACCCCAAGACTCGACCGGACGACCCCAATCTGTTCCACCGAGACCCGTGGGAAGAGACCAAGAGAGCAATCGAGCCGAAGCTGGCCACGAACACCCCTGAAAGGCCTTAGAGACGCCGTCGAGAAGCCACCAATAAGCCCCAGAGGAGGGCCTGAGAGGTCACCGAGAAGCCCCGAAAACCGGAAAAGTTCCCGCTCCAAAGACCCTCCAAGGGGCAACGCGACAACTATGCAAAGTCTGAGGCCACGCAAGGTTGCGGCATCTTAAGGCTGTATCCCAGCTCCAAGGTGGTTGTGCCGACCTGGTGTGGGCGACGTCGACCGTCGACACCACCATCCCGCATGCATTTCAAAGCTGCGCTGTCCCTGTGGTGGGGTTTGCACCGCTTCGCCTAAGTGTCCTCGCGCGTCGATGGAATTGGCCAGGACCCACGCGCACATTCATACACATTCGCTGGGGGGGTTCTGCGGGGCCCCCTCCCAATCCAGTGATGATGCTGGTGGGGCGGGTGGGGCGAGGTAGGAGGGGGGGGAGAAAATAACAAAACTTACCACACACACACACACACACACAATCGAGAATTAGTTGTAATTTAACCCCCAGTGGGAGCGTCTAAAAGCGACGCCTTTTTTATGAAAGAGCCCCTGCTGAGGATAAGTATGCTACTGAGTTCTCGGTAAAGATGCATGTAATAGAAATGATATCAGCAAGGGTCCTTGTACTGAACAGTCTGTACTACGGACTCTTCAAAGAGGATTCCTTTGTAAGAGAGAGAGCTCGTTTCACGGGCGCTTGTCTTGGGAACATTCGGCGGCGCGTTTCGAGCCGGGGAGGGCCCCCCCCCAAACATTCGGCGCTGTCGATCAGAACCAAGGGGACCTCCTCCCCTTACCCCCCCCCCTCCCAACCCCCCCCCCCTCCCAGGGAGGTGGGGGTTCAACCACCCCCCCCGGTGCCGGCGCCGACGCTCCCGGAGGACCGGGAACGCCGATTTCCAGCGCTCCATGGCAAACGTCGGTTCTGCGCTCCAAGGTTGGATGCGCGGCCCATGTTGTAGGATCTGCGTTCCATGGTCGGATCTGCGCTCCATGGTAAGATGTGCGTTCTATGTTCGGAGCTGCGCGACTCGTCTTACTGAAAGTAAAGACGCCCTGGGGCGGAGCTCCCTATTGGGCTACGAAGAGTGCGAGGGGTGTGCCGAAATCGGCGTGGGGGACGCATGCGGGTGGTGCTACTGGGGCCTTGGGTGGAGCTCCCCATGGGGCCCTGGGTGCGTTCCATGGTCGATTGTGCGTTCCATGTAGGAAAAACTGCCTTCCACGCCAAACGCGGGATGCTGAAATCCGGCGCTCCAGGTCCTCTGGGGCTGCAGCTGGCGGCGCTGGTGGCGGCCAGCAGCGCCAACGGCGGGGACGCAGCGACGATGACCAGAGAAGGCCCAGGGGGGAGGGGGGGAGATCCAACCCCCTTCCCCCCCCCCAGCGCCGGCGTCGGCGCCAGCGCTTGCGGCGGCCAGCAGCGCCGACGGCGGGGACGCAGCGACGATGACCAGGGGGGGCCCAGAAGCCACAGAAGGGAAACACAAATAGCCATATCGAGCCCTCGCCCAAAGGCCACCGAGAGGCCCTCAGAAGGTCCAGGAAGCTTCACAAATTCTCCTCAGACGCCCCCGAGACCCCCCTGACGAGACCTCAAAGCCAAACACTGACCCAAAGCCACACACGGTGGCGGGAAGACCCGAAGGCAACACCACCACCACCACCACACCACCACCACCAACACCGCCACCGCCACTACCGCCACCACAACCACCACAACCCACCACCACCACAACCACCACCATCACCACAAACAACTACACCACCACCGCCAAAAACGCCACAACCACCACCACCAAAACCAACCACAACCACCACCACAACCACCACCACCACCACCACCACAAACCACCACATCACCACCACCATCACCACCACCGCAACCACCACCACAACCACCACAACCCACCAACGCTACCACAAAACCACAAACCACATTCCACCACCACCACAACCACCACCACCACCACCACCCACCACCCACCACAACCAACACCACAGCCCACCACCACCACCACCACCACTACCACCACCACAACCACAAACCACCACGCAACCACTACCACCACCGCCACCACCACTACCACCACCACCACAACCCACAACCACCACTACAACCGACCACACAACCACCACCACCACCACCAAAACCACCACCACCACCACTACCACCGCCACCGCAACCATGACAAACCACCACACCACCACCACCACCACCAGCACCACCACCACCACCACCACAACACCACCACCCACTACCACCACCACCAGTCTACCACACCACCACCACCACCTCCACCACCACCACCACCGCCACCACCACCACCACCACGGCCACCACCACCACCACCACCACATCACCACTACCACCACAAACCACCACAACCACAACCACCACCACATACCATCACACCAGCACCACCACAACCACCACAACCCACCACCACCACCTCACCACCAAAACATCCGACCACCACCACCACCACCACAAACCACCACACCACCACCACCACCGCCACCACCACAACTACCGCCACCACCACCGCCACCACCTCCACCAAAAACCACCAAACCACCACCACCACCGCAACCACCAGCACCACCAGCACGACCACCACCACAACCGCCACAACCCACCACATCACCACCACCACCACCACCACCACCCACCACAACCACAACCACCAGAACAATGCACAACACCACCACCACCACCACAACCACCACCACAATCACCACCACCGCCACCACCACCACAACCCACCACCAACACAACCACTACCACCGCCACCGTCACCACGACAAACCACCACACCACCACCGCCACCACTACCACCACCACAACCACCACCACCACAACTACCAGCACAACAATCACCACCATAAACCACCACACCACCACCACCACCGCCACCACCACTACCACCACCACAACCTGCCACCATAACCACCACAACAACCACCACCACCACCAGAAACCACCACACCACCACCACCACCACCACCACCACCACGACCGCCAGAAACCACCACCACCACAATAGCCTACCGCCACCAACACCTCAGAGAGGCCCCAAGAGAGCCCAAGATGCGCCCAGGAGGCTTCACCAATGCCCTTCAAAGGCCCCCGAGAGCCCTCCGAGGAGACCCCAAGAGGCATCCATAAGGACTCTGACCGAAAACCAAGGCACGGTGGCGGGGCGTCGTCGTCGTCGTCATCGTTGTCGCCGTCGCCGTCCTCGTCGACGCTCCCCGCCGCCGCCGCCAGCCGCTTCATCGACGCTCCCCGACGCCGACGCCAGCCGCCGCTGCCGGCCCGAGGAGAGGGAGAGGAAAAATAGGGGAGGAGAGGAAGGAGGGGGGGGGGGGGGACCCCCCCCCACCGTCACGGGAGAAGGAGAAGGAAGGAAGGAAGGAGAGGAAGGAAGGGGAAAAGTAGGGGAGCAGAGGAAGGAAGGAAGGAAGGGGGGAGGGGGGGTTCGAACCTCCCCCCCCTTCAAGCCAAGGGGGGGGTGTCCCGGTTCCAAACCCACCCCCCTCCAAACGCCCACAGAACGCGCTCTTTCCTCTGTAGTGATGCCTTTGGTGCAGGCTTGTTGTCGAGTGCGCCCTTGGCACAGACTCATGAACAAGAATGCTTGTAGCACAAAGGGTTTGACCATGATGATTCCTTCTCTACGGGATTTGTTCTATAAAGAACCCGTACTACGGATGTATGGGGTATGGATCATTAGTGAAGATTCCGTTGGTAAGGTGAGCAAGACCCCGTGCAACCGAAAGTCCATAGTAAGAACGCCGCTCCTACGGAACCCTTAGTAAAAACAAGAAACAAAAGAACCTTCCAAAGAGGGATCAAAGGCCCGCGTCGGAAGGACGGTTCCTCCATTCGCCGGCCCCACGGGCCAGAGGCGTGCTACGATCTTCGGTAACAGATTAACAACATTCCTAGTTCGCGCGCGCGTGGCGGCCCTGGGGACACCCCCCGGCGAACAGTACCCCAGGCGATGGCCGGCCGATGCCCCGCCGACTCCCCCGGGGCGCGCTCCAGGAGCGCGCCAAGAGGGTGCCGGGGCGCCCCCTGCACGGACCAGGAGGCCCCGAGTCGCCGGAAGATCGCTCCAAGGCGTTCAAGATGGTCGCCAGATGGCCCCCAGAGGC